TTGCTGCCGCTCGTCCCCCCCCCCCCCCCCCCCTTTCCCAGTGCCATTAATCAATGTCCTCTCTCACTTTTTGTAATTTATGTCTCACAAATTAAATACATGAGTATATATTACTGTTACCCTTTACGACTATGTGTCAATCAACTTTCTCCCTTTGCTCTCTAGATTCAGAACTCTAAGCCTGGTGTTAGCTGCTTCTCTCTGTGCACATATGCAAATCTGCATAAATCCCTTCACCATCCCTTCACCAGCTGTCCTCTGTTCCATTGTAGTCCTCCCTGATGGCATCTACCTATCCATCTTAATCTTAGATGCTCCCATCCAATCACTGTTGTAAGATATGATTGTGTTCTTTGAACCAATCTTGAATTGCTCATGTGTGTGAATGAGAACTAGGAAAAAGATGGCTAGGCAGAGGCCGTCAGGGTGGACTTTACTGGAACAGAGGACAACTAAAAGCTGCACTTCGAGAGAGAGACTGCAACAACAAGCCATTTTCCTGAGAACGCTTAATTGCCACAAAGTCTTGTTCAATAAGGTATTTATGGACAGCAATAATCGAAGCCAGGTGATTTTTAGTGTATTTCTTATGGAAACCATTCCATATGCTAGATAAGGGTATAGTGTGTGCGTGTATGTGTTTTAGAAGTCTGTTTTGTGTTTTGTTTTTTTTACCTGTAACTAAGTAGTTTATGCGTGCAGCATTTTTGTATAGTAAAATTGCTATAATACTACTGGGTCAGTTTCCTTGTGTTTACTACAAGAATCCTAAACAAATGGCTGTAAAAGTTTGCCAAGCAAAACAGAATGGGACTCTGATGTGGAGGGGTATCTGGGAAGACGCTGATGTTAAGTGGGGGTGGCTCTGATGTAAACTAGGGACTCTATTGTGAAGGGGGACCCTGGTGTAAAGGGAAGGACTTTTGATGTGAAGGGGGCTTCTTGTATGAAGGGGTATCCCATTTTTGACTGGAGTGCCTCAAAGTTTTTTCATACTTTTAAGAGTGCTGTGACTGAAAAAAACGTTGAAAAAACACTGGTCTATACAGATATCTGTATTTCCAGGTGGTACACAAAGCAAAGATGTTGGTATATTTTCTGCTGTGTGAAATTTTCTAAATAATCCTGGGCATTTGAGCCCTCTAGTTCTATTTCTGGACTTTTTTACTCTACAAAACACACTTCTGCTCCAGAAGTTTGTACTCTACATAACAGACTTAATTCTGTTGCAAGTTATTAATTTCCGTGTAATGAGGCCATTCACTGTGTTTACGGAGTTGTGTTTGAGTGGTTGTTGGCTTTCACACTGAAGTCCAGCACTTAAGACCTTCTATAAAACCTAGTTTGTGAAGACTTGAGAAGGATGCGGTTATGTACTTTTCCTGTATGAATGCCCTTCATTTGAATGTGAAAAAAAAACCTATGCCCAGTTTATAAGTAACATTTGTTTTGACTTTATTTCTAATCTAAACACCTGGTCTTTCTCAGGAACGTTTCTGCTCTATTGGACAGGAATGATGGCTCCTCTATTAACTTATTCGGCCAAGATAAAACAGTTTGTAATTGATTGACTTGTTTTAAACAGGGCCCCTGATAAACTTTGCTTAGAGAGGAGAATATTTTCATTACTAAATGATGTGGGATATCACACACATTAACCTCTTATAGATCACAGGGATGCATCAAAATATGAATAAATATATTAATTCCAGCCACCCTGTATGTCCTTTCATTTGACCTGACCATATTAGTATCAATTTGTGCTATAAAACATATGTGGATCTTAATATTGTGTATTATGCTGTCAACATATTGCCTTTCTATAATAATTGTAATATAAAAAGAAGCTATGAACGCCCAATTTGGGCATATTTAATTTAGTTTTAGAAGCTGTCAGAATGGCAGAGAAAATACATTCACATGGTAGTTTTTTTTTGTTTTGTTAAATGCCAAGTTGACCTTTCAGACCATGTTACATATAATATGAAACATCGCAACCCCCTCCCATTGTAAGTCTGCACTTGTAGTGCATTCATACTTTCTCCCATCCATGTTTCTGGGAGGAAGAGTCTGCAGGAGCCAGGGCATTGCACTTGCGATCCACTGATGGTGTTTGCAATGCTTTCCTGGCTCCTGTTCAAAAAATAATCAATTTTTGATTATGCATGTATATTTTTTTGTTTTTAAAGGTGATTTTTCCCTTTTTAAAGTTAATTTCCACCTTTTGTAAGTGATTTTGCATTTATTGTGCTAATGAGGAGCGGTGATGATGTAGATGTGTGCACATTTTCATGACTCGCGTTGCAGCCTTTCTAAAAAAAAAATTTATGATGGTTTTATTTGGTCTGAAGCCTAAAAATGAAACATTCTCTCCATGGGAAATTGCCAGACACTGTGTCAGACTGCCCCCCTCCTTGTCACTCATTCTAACACGATCAGTAAACATTAGCTCTGCCTTTACACACAATACACTGTCCAGGGAAAGGGGGTAGAGGGGTCAGCCTGGTCGGGAATATTTTTTTACATTGATTGCACAGCATAAAGGCAGAAATTTGCATGCGGATATCAAGTGGAAAGCTTACAAAAAATTTAATTTTCTCCTTTTTATATACATCAACCTCATATGCCTACTTCATTAACACTTGGTGTACATTGCTGACATATGTTTTTTTTAAATACCCCTGGAAAGGTAGAAATGGACTTTGAAATAAGCTGTTTGGTATATACTCAACATAAATTATCTTTTAACCCCTTAGTGACCAATGCCCTCGAACCCCCCCGTTTTGTACCCATGTTATAATTTACATTTTAGGCCTGAAAATTACTTCAAACCCCCACACATTATATATTTTCTGAAAGCCAAGACTTATAGAATAAAATGGTGGCCGTTTCAAATTTTTATGTTGCACGATATTAGCGCAACGTATTATCAAACCCCAAAATTTAGTGAAAAATACTCTTAAATGCCCCAAAACACATTTAAATACCCATTTTTTAAATAAAATGTAAAACGGGTTAAAACGAGCAAATAGATACCCAACGTGCCCAGGTTAAAAATTGTGCGTGTCCGTGAAACTGCAACACGATTCAAAAAGTCCATAGATGACGCTTTAAGAGCCCCCACAGGTCATCAGTTTAGAGATACGCATAAATGTTGGCCTTAGA